GGCAAGCCACTCCCACCCGGTTACATGGCTGGCAAGCCACTCCCACAAAGCAGGCCACATCTACAGAAGAGGTTCTAAAAAATTTTGAAACCCACCACTGTTATGATCTTACTTAGCACTGCTTCAACAGATACAAAATATAGTATCTATTAGGCTCTAGTGAACCAGACTACACATCTACATGTAGACATAATTATAGACTTATTATAAACAGACTTTATAATAAAATATAAAGTCTGAGCCAGTGATGGCAAACTTTTTTGCCACCGAGTGCCCAAACTGGAACATGCGCACACTGGCCACATGGTTTTGGGGTTTCCGGTGCGTGCTTGCATTCACATCAGCCAACTGATCTTCAGTTTCTGGTGCTCCAGCACGCGCGAAGACCAGCTGGCCAGCACACAGGCATGCACCAGAAACCAGTAGATCAGCTGGCGATGGCGTCTATGCCCACAGAGAGGGCTCTGAATGCCCTGTCTGGCACACTTGCCATAGGTTCGCCATAATGGGTCTGAGCCATCCATGGAAGAAATAGACTGAAAATATAACATCTACTGCAGGAGTGTCAAACTTGCACCATTGCATTGTTGTGACGTGACACATTTTCCCCCTTCGCTAAAATGGGGGTGGGCGTGGCGCGTCTGGCCTGCAGACCACGAGTTTGATACCCCTGTCTCCAGGACAACAATACCATCCTATGTTCCCCCTCCCCTCTCCTGACAGAATCTGTATGGGTCTTTTTTCTTTAAAATATTACAATTTGTGGTCCCAGATTAAAGGAAAATTCCCCATCTCCAATTTAACAGTCCAAAAATCACCTGGTTACTGCTCTTTCATGTCCCTGGTTCCTTACTGATATTGACTCTTGACTGATCAAAGCTGGAGCTTTCTTTCTACCTGGTGATGTCTTTGTGGTGTTGTTATCTCTAGCTACCAAATTCTTATGAGAATTTACAGTTCAGCAGGAAGTTCTTTGTTACCTTTGGCAGTCAAAAAAGGCACAGATGACAAATGGGGAAAGTACAGGCAATTCTTGGTTTATGACCAGTCACCAAGTTATTATGGATACTTACAACCTGGTTCCATCGTTCTAATGACCAGCTCCTCTCCGTGCTCACATAACTGCATGTGGATGCTTCTCAGCTGGTGATTAGGGGACTGGAGACTAAAACATATGAAGAACGGTTGCAGGAACTAGGTATGTCTAGTTTAACAGAAAGAAGGACTAGGGGAGACATGAAAGCAGTGTTCCAATATCTCAGGGATTGCCACAAAGAAGAGGGAGTCAAACTATTCTCCAAGGCACCTGAGGGTAGAACAAGAAGCAATGGGTGGA